AAAGTGGGAACTAGAAAACAAAAATGAGAGGGACTCTTGTAATGGTAGAATCATGGCAAAGGCAAAAGGTTGGTAGCCAGAACTCTGTCCATCATTCAGCAGGGCGGGGTCTTGATTTAACTAGTCAACCTAGGTTTAACCTATATTCAAATGCCCTCTTGCCTTTTTATTGAAGATGTTTATGCTGTACCCATGGCGTGTATCATTTCCCCCTGTATATGGTTAGGGGCCGTACAGTATATGCTTTTTTGTCTCCTTCCATGTGGGTGGCTGTGAACCAAGCACACAACCACAAGGATAAAAAATAGCCAGCTCCAGCTAGTCACCCTGAAATATACTCTCAAAAGGAATGGGCTGTGCTGCAGATTCAGGATCCCAACATCTCCTATCTCAATATTTTCCAAGAATAGAAAACTTAGCTTATGCGAATAAATTGAGCTTACATTGACTACATGTATTCTACTGCGACTGTGGGATAAGCTGGGGATTCATGATGGACCTCTGTATCAGTGGATACAGATTCCTAGTGAGAAATTACATATTTGTCAGTTAGTAATTCCACAAATAAGGGCTTTGGGAGTCTGTCTAGTATTACATAGAGCAGATGGACATTTCAAGAGCGCACCAAAACTTTAGTTTTAAAGTATTTTTACTATCCAGGCCTCTCTACTTGGCTGCATAAGTCCTGTCAGGAATGCCAACATTGTGCTATCCATAAAGAGAAGAACATATCACTCCACTACCCATCACCACTGGAGACCTCTGAGATATTAAGTAATACTTTCTTACAGTTCAAGATCTTACTTCAGGGCATCAATATGCTCTAGTTTTTGTTGACTTTTTTAGATTTGCCATTGTTGTACCTAGCTCCAGACATGACAGCTGTCACTACAGCCAAGCTTTAGTGCACTCATGTGATTCCTCCATACGGTTGCCCCAAACAGGTATTGTCAGATCAAGGCCCCAAATTTGAATCTCATGTATTTTCTTAATTATTCAGTTAAATTTTATTGCATATAATTTAAAAGAAAAAGAAAGCATATTACACAAACTTCTTAAAACAGTACACATGGTTCTCAAATAACAGAAGTCCAGTGGTGTTATATCAGACAACCAAAACCATGGTCTATTGACAATGTGCAGTTGAACAAGGACTGGCCCATGTAAAAACCAGAAAGGGCACCTCCCTGAAATGAGACGGGGACCTCCCTGAACTAAGGTTTTGCAGGTTGGAATGTCTGGGACAGTAGCCAGTAAATTTCATAATTGGCTGTTTGTAAGGGCCAACAGTAGAAATCAAGAGCATATACCACTGAAACCAGCTTTAGTATTTTCCAATTTGTTGTAGTACACACAGAAGTAAGTCCGGCTTCCAAAGATTTGGATCTGTAGACACCAGTTAGGGTGTCCATCAATATGGAAGTACTAAAACTCAAAGGGCTCACACTGTTCCATATGGATCGAAAACCCCGTAGTCCAAAAACTACATATTGTTTCATTTTGGAGGATAGCGCTACAGTGCTCAACCATGGATCATTAGTTGTAAACATTGATAGTGCGATTATATTGCACCAAGGCCTGCATAGCCTGCAATAATATGCATACAGTTAAAAGCCCCAACAGAGAATGATATAAACATCTGACCAAATAGACTGATCATAAATCACACTACTTTTCTGAAGCATTGCGTAAACGACTGGCTCAGAGTGGTATTTACTGAATGGTGTACACCAAAGTGATGATGCAAATTCACCACAACAATGGTGGCCACTGCATGAGGAGAGTTGGTGGTAAAAGAGAGATCCACTATACCTGATATGTTTCCCCATAATGGCATTATCAGAGGGGCATGTACTGGTGTAGATTACCATTAGTTAAAAACACTTGAGGGATGGAGTCTGTGTATCACATGGTTTCTTTCTCCTTCCCACTTGCATTCCACAGGTTATGTCAGTGTCTACAGATGGAGCATAGCTAAGTATTCTGAATATGTACTGTTAATATGTTTTGTTTGCGTAATTCCAAGGACTGCATTTCTTAAGCTCAGAAGGGTTGATTGGTGCCCTTTTCTAGCTGCTGAAGGGGTGAGACTGGGCTGGTCTATCCCTCAGCCATTGTAACATCAAGTTTTAGTGGACTAGCTGTTGCATGGTCACCCTATTAAATCCCTGATACACAGGTAAAATGGCCGATCCCTTGCCACCATCCTAGAGGGAGCCCAAAATGCAGCTCTTTGACAAGTTTTCTCATGGTGATAGGAACCCCTCTGATGACCAACGTGTCTCTGAACCTCTGATCACTGAAAGGAGGTGCGCAGGTGCTGGCTGCCTCAGCAATGCTTTTAAGAGTTTTTCTAAACCATAGTGGTCAGGGCTGGCAGTGCCTAAACCACATGATTGCCGATTACATAAATGCTAGATTGTGAGCTCTTGCAAGCAGGACCCTCCTAACCCTCCTGTATTGAAATTGTATTGTAACTGCACTGTCTCCCTCCATTTTGTAGAACACTGCACAAACAGTTGGCGCTATATAAATCCTGTATAATAATATTAATAATTATAAAATATCCTATAGCTGCTACTTCCACTGGTCAATTCAGTCCTATGACTAAGGCCTTAATCAAATGTTGCAGCCCAAACTACATGAAAAAGCCCTTTTCTACAAATTGAAATAAAGAAGATTGGGGTGCTGCTACTTTAATCCAAGCCATAATTAAAAAAGTATAAAATCACACAAACACATGTAAAATAAGTGGTGCCGGAATACAATGCCATTGGTAATGTCCATGAAAATAATGTTCTGTAACACCACATACTCCCAATCATAGCATCTTCCAATCATGTAATCGAACCCATTGGCTGCCAGAGTCGTTTACATTTTTTAGCACACATGTTAAAGTGAAAATTTTAGACCAGAAAATTGCTTAAAGCCCCCAAAATCATATATTTTCTGAAAGCAAAGACCATGGAAAATACAATTGTGTTAGTTGCAATTTTTTGTATCACATGATATTAGTGCAGTTTATGAAACCATAATTTTTAGTAAAAAAATGCATTCAAACTCATTTTAGTGCACACAAACAATATAATAATTTTTTGGGGGTAAAATATAAAACAAAAGGTTGCACTGAGTAAATAAATATGAAACATGTCAAACCTCAAAATTGTGTGTGCCCCTAAAACAGAAAAAAAAGTTGGTATCCAAAAATTTCCATTGGCAATGCTTGAAAAGCTTTTCCAGGTCATCATTTTAAAGTTAACCTCTCAGGAGAACAGCCTCCTGAGTCCCCGCACAGTCTTCTGAGACCCCTCAAGCCACATGAGACCCCACACACCTCCTGAGACCCCACACAGTCCACCTAAGATACCACACAGCCTCCTGAGACCCTGCACAGCCTCCGGAGACCCCACACAGCCCACCTAAGACCCCGTCCAGCCTCCTGAGACCCCACAAAGCCCCCCACAAGACCCTGAACAACTCTCCTGAGACCTCAGACAACCCTCCTGAGACCCCACACAGCCCTCCTAATATCCTCCCCTGGAGACCGCAGCCTGGCACCCCGGAGCAGTATGTAGCTTCATATTATTCTGCATTACTGGGATATGTAGTCCTCTATAGCCGGTTGCCATTCGGCATTGCTGGTTAATGTATTGCTGTGATTTATAGTCCTCTTTAGCTGATGGTATTCGGTTGCCATTCGGCATTGCTGGTTAATGTATTGCTGTGATTTATAGTCCTCTTTAGCTGATGGTATTCTGCATTGCTGTATAATATATTGCTGGGGTTTGTAGTCCTGTGCAGCTGTTGATATTATAATTCAATGCTGTAGAATGTATTGCTGGGATTTGTAGTCCTCTATAGCTGATGGTATTATTCTGCATTGCTGTATAATGCATCGTTGGGATTTGTAGTCCTCTATAGCTGGTGGTATTCTGCATTGCTGTATGATGTATTGCTGGGATTTGTAGTCCCTCTACAGCTTGGAGTCAGTGGCAGGACTACCAGGATCGCAAGAATTTGCAGCTGTGACTGAGCCCTAGCACTTCACCACTGTAAAATAATTGGTCTGTATTGTTTTAGAAAAACTGTCATATGACACAAAAAAAGTATTGGTAATTGGCATCGGCAAGTATTTGAGGAATAGTATCGGTACTCGTATTCCGTCTGGAAAAAATGGTATCGGTGCATCCCTAATTTTTAAGCTTTAAAGTGACACTAAACTCGGGAGTTACATTTTTAAATTGCATTCAAGTGCATAAACTATTAACAAAAATGTATCTTATTTGTGTATCACTCAGCTGTAGATCTACAAATCATCTCTGAATTGGTGCTGACACTGTCCTTCCTTCTGGAGGGTGGCTACTTTTGTTCCCCCATGGTCCCTGTGTGTGTTGTAAAGTAACCAAAACTCCAAGCTCACTCCTGTAATGGACTACAATCTCGCATTTAGTTTACTAATTTGTATTGAGATTATAGTCCATCACAGGAGTGAGTTTGGGGTGGTGGCTACTTTATAACACACACGGGGATCATGGGAAACAAAAGTAGCCACCCTCCAGAAGGAAGGACAGTGTCAGCACCAATTCAGAGATGATTTGAGGATCTACAGCCGAGTGATACACAAATAAGATACATTTTTGAATGCATTTTTAAGATTTAACTCCTGAGTTTAGTGTCACTTTAACATTCTGTATGTAATTCACAGGTTACAGCATGGGAAATGATGGGTTAAAAGCATCTGAACTGTGTATAGGAAGGTTAATTGTATCACCAAATAGCAAAACAAAAGTAACCTGCCTGCCAGAGATACAAACTGTGAATTAGGACCTGTCAGTGAAAGGAATAAACAAGATCACGCTGCAATTTCAAACCGAAAACAACGCTAAAATTATCCCCACAAACAGCATAATGAACCCTCAGCATTTCGTGCTTTGAGGGAGTGAGCAGGCAGTGCCTGACACACCTCCGAATCGTGGTCTCCTGATTGGTAATCTGGGAGCTTCTTTCCTGACGTTTTAGTGTGGGAAGGTCTAGCATGTCATTTAGCTGAATACGGGATGCTGCTGTGAACAGATCAAACAAGGTTAAGCAGATAACAAAGAAATCCAGGACCACAAATCCTTGTGCACAGCCAGTAATCTGTTCCCCAAAATATGCCTATTAGGTCTTGCTTTACTATGTTGTTAAAAAGGAGTGCTAGTACGATTTTTCTGCGGAAGAAATGCACCCAATCTGTGGCTATTATTGGGGCTCCATTCTCCAAGGGCCAGGTAGGAAAGTGTAAACTAAAGCTTTGGACATTTGAATTTTGATCAAGTTATGTATTGTATATATTGGATAGTAGCAAGAGTAGTGGCTGCGATATATATTTATTGTAAATGCATTATATATGACATTGTATGCACTGTACGCATGATTTGCTTGGTGTGTTATGTAAGAAATATATCAGTAAATATGTGGCGATATATAATATAAGTATATAATTTTCGCAAAAGAAAGCATAGCCTATACTGCATAGAACTGATATGATATAACATTCACCATTATAATTTGGTATAGGTTATAAAAGTTACTAAATAATCTAAGCTGAAAAATACTCATCTAACTTCTTACAAACTCCAAGGGAAATGCCAAAACATACCATCCTGGGCAAATGTGGCCAGTTTTTGTCTAATAGGGTAAGGAAAAATCTTCCTGACTGCATCAAGGCAGTTAAATCATTTTCTAGATCAAAATTTTGTCATGTCATGCAGTGATTATAACGATGGATACCATTATTGAAAAGAAAATGATCAATTATTGTTTTTTTCATTACTACTTTGTTATACAGTAGGACATGCCTTATTGTAAAAAACCCTTTCCTATAACGATGGCAAAAGCTTCTTTGATCCCAAAGATTATATTATCATGGGGACATTAGTTGCATATGGAGCAGACATTAAAGTTGACCTTTACCCCCTTTGACTAAAAATTACATCAGCATACAGCTCTGCATGCTGATATGAAATCATATCAAACATATTTTTGTTTTACTTAGTTTGTTTTTTTGCCACTGTCCACTTTGGCACAAATTATGTAATCATGCCCAAGCATTGCATCCAGGTCTGCATTTACTTTCACTGCTGCCCCAAGGCCCCCCCCCAACCCCCCCCCCCCGGAGAATGGCAACCAGATGGCGGGGCGGCAGGGTTAGTTTTATTTTCTTTTTTTGTAAAACTTTTTTATAATTTTTTTTTTTTTTTTTAAGACACAGGTCCATCGAGTTCAACCTTTGTGTGTGTGTGTGTGTGTGGTGTGTGCATGTGTGTATATGAGTCCCTGTGTGTTCCTATGTTTTTAAGAGTATTTTATTATAAAGTTTTAACTTTTTTTCAATTTGTATTTATGTTATCATTTTTTACTTTTTTATAATTTTTTTCTTATTTTTGTATTAATTTTTTAAAATGTTTATTTAATTATTTTTTTTAATCAAATTTGATTCATTTTTTTTCCACTTAACTTTATTGCTATCACACAGTGGCTAACCAGACCCTGTGTGGTAGCATTTGGAGGTGACAGGTTCTCTATATTGAACTTGTCACTTCCAATGCAGGAGTTCTAGCACAGCACTGTGCTGGAACTCCTGTGACAGCTGAGAGGGGAAGGCTGCGAGTGCAGCTGTCCTATCCCACTGTTTACTCGGAGCAGAGAATGCACATTCCCTGCTCTGCTCCCCGCTCTCGATCCTCAGGATCTCCGACCAGCATAGAAAGGTACATGGCGGGGTGGGGGGGACGGAGCATGAAGATCTCCAGTGAGGAGAGAGGTAGGCACAGTGGGGCCGGCAGAGGGAGGACGGACCTGCAGTCTTATTACAAGTGATATTGGCGACATCGCCGAAATCACTTGTAAACGAACGTTCAGCTTCCCCGCTCTACATTTTAGCCCTGCTTGCCTAAAGCAGGGCTAAATGTAGAAAACAACTACCCGCCCGGTGCCCGAAACTGCGTGTCCTGGGTGTCAGGAGATTCTACACCCCTGCTGCCCCGAGACCGGGCCTCATTGGTCTTGTGGGAAATCCGGCCCTAATTGCATCCTGAGAAGGTTACATCAGTAGACCATTGCTGTGAAATCTCATATGCAATCTAATGAGATCTTAGGGAAAGGCATTTTTCTCCCCTGAGATGATGTGCTTGGGCACATGTCCTCGTCACATGTGCCAGAGTTCCAGGAAGTAAAGGGAGATGTGCTTGATCACATGTCCTCGTCACATGTGCCAGAGTTCCAGGAAGTAAAGGGAGAAAACCTGTCTTTAGTAAAAATGGCCAGTGTGGGAAGAAAAGAAAAATAAGGTATTCAAAGAATAAAAAAACGGCAATTATCTAAAAGTATGTGTTTTGTAGATTGTCATTACTAAATATTTCTAAAGGTGCCTTTATTATTTTGAAGATATGGGATTCCTCTTTAATTTGCCACAAAGTTTGTTGCTCAAAACTCTATCCCATGTTAAAGCGTGACTCAACCTCAGGAGTTAAATCTTAAAAATGCATTCAAGTACCTTAACAATGAACAAAAATGTACCTTATTTATGTATCATTCAGCTTTAGATCTTGTGGGTTATGTGTTTAGATGAAGCACTGAGATCTTGAGGAATGCTGAATTAGGTTTTACTTGCTTAGGAGGACATCACATGTATGTATACAGGAATACAGCATTATACAGGTAACATATATATCATAGACAAACAAGCATAAGCATAGAGACCAACACTGCACTACAGCGCATCTGGACTTATCTGTGATTAGCACTGCAAATCAGCTTGTATCATACATGCATTCTTTCATATCTTCTGTCATTCTTAGAGGGGATATCTGGCTATGGAAACAAAAGTCATTTGGGCTCAGGGTTGTGACCTTGGGAAAATAATGGGCAGAGGGTGGAGCATGGGAAGGAGCGGGGGGTGGGGGTAATTGTAATAATGTTAATATGCTAAAGAACCCTGACATCTGCACTGGATGACGATTTCATCCTCTCCTTGGTACCAGAGGGAGGACCCTCTCTTCACATCAGAATCCTCCCCTTCACATGAGAGTCCCCTTTTCACATCAGAGTAACTAATGCTGATAGTGGCATGCATGAGACATGTCAGATTTTTCACTCTTCACAGTGAAGGATTGAAATCCAGTCTAATGGTAGCCATACATGTAGCATTTTGTGATCAGTCTAGGCATGAGCAATTGCAAACAAATGATTCAGCATTGGTTAAAATATTGAATGCAACACACAATATTTATTTTTACCTTACAATTGACATAAAATATCAATCAAAAGTGGTGCAGTGGTTAGCACTTCTTGCAGCACTGAAGGTGCCTGGTTCAAATCCCAGTCAGGGACACTATCTGCAAGGAGTTTGCATAGGTTTCCTCTGGGCAGTGGGGAAGCTAGACATTCTATCAACCGGGCAAAGGCTCAGAGTTGCTCCCCCCCAAGGGAGAAGTTCTCCATCCACACACCCAGTTGAGCCCCTCTTAAAGCGGCACCCGGGGCACATGCCCCCCCAGCTTCCCCCTAGCTTCAGCCCTGCCTTTGGGTATTCCAGTTTCCTACCACACTCCAAAGGCATGAGCTTAGATTGTAAGCTCCTTGAGGGCAGAGACTGATGTGAATGTGCACTATGTAAACTAAATTGTTGGCGATCTATAAATACCAATAAACAATAAATAAAAGTCTGTATTACAATCTTCGTTAACAGAAATGATGATCACCAGCACCTACAGGATGAACTAAATCCTTGTTTTTTTATTGAAGCATCATGTCACATATATTACATAGCCAACGTTTTGGAACCACACAGGGTCCCTTCGTGAGGGGGAACATAGTAACTTTTGAGAGAAAAGTTCAGATGAATAGACATACAGTTCTTCCAGATATCCCTCAAAAAGATTAGCTTAGGAAGGGGAAGCAGAGCTGCCCATAGCAGTACCCTTGGTTTACAGGTAGTATTGCTTCTCAAATCTGAAGTAATTATTCTCAAGAATCATTCGGAGGCCCTCCAATATAAAATCAGTAGGACGGGATCATGTCTCCCTCCGAGCCAAAAAATGACCTACTGCCCAACTCAGTAGGAATGCAGGTGTAGAGGGATGAGATATCCATGGTGAGAAATAGCCATTCAGGGCAGATCACATCAGGAGGGATCTCAGGTCAGTGAGCCGGTTGCGATCTACCAGTGTTCGCTTTGTGATCAACTGGTAGATTGCGAGCTACCAAATGGGAACCCCTGGTCTATATGGTAATGGGTTATATACTTTGTGTACTTTAGGTAGACCATATACCACTTATGTGTGGGGGTATTCAGTGTATACCCATTCTGCTATTCCTTTAAAGATCAGTCCAGAGTTCAAGGCATAATTAACGAGTTGTGACAACTTATGTTGTATAGACAGCACAGGGTCCTGTGTAATAGGTTCAGAGCTAGAGCCATCAGAAAGGAGTCTCAACATGCCCATTCTGTAATCAGCATAGTCTATGACAACAACAGCACCCCCTTTGTCAGCCGGTTTAATAATGATTGACATATCACTCTGTAGAGATTTGAGGGAAGCTGTCTCTGTTCTAATCAGCTTCAGGGCCTGTGCAGTATTGTTAGTCCTTCTGTGATTGACGATCTTATATGTTTGATGTTTCATAGTCTTGATAAATGTTTCTGATGCTGGGAATTGGCCAGGTGGTATAAAAAAGCTCTTCTTTACCACAGGGACGTGCGGTCAGGGGAGGCAGGTGAGGCAGAGCCTCACCTAGAATTATGGAGGAAAGAGCTGTCAGCTTCATGTCTGAAGCGGAAAGCTTTTTCTCCATTCAGATCGGCATCTAAAAGGTTACACAGCAGGGAAATCCTCCCCGCTGTGTACCCTGTCATGGATGAAGCGCATCAGCAGTGAGAAGCAAGTGAGGGACAGGGAGGCTCCTCCCTGTCTCCTTCCTTCCTCCTTTACACTAGCTTGGGGATGGGTTGGGGCGGGGCTTCATCCGCCGGGTCTTTGTCCGGCATGGGACAGGGCTTCAGTCGGCGGGGCTTTGGTTGGCAGGGGGCAGGGCGGGACGTGCTGGGGGCGAGGCTGGGGAATGCCTCACCCGGAACAATAGGTACCGCACGTCACTGATTTACTAGTAGTATCGATGGCCAAGTGAAGCATCGATGGGAAGTGTCAGAAAAATGTTGTTTTAATTTAAGAGATCGTTCGAGTCTATATGTGTCTATCTCAAATTCAAAATCGTTGAACTTAGGTGT